CAGGCACGCGCCACCACGCCCGGCTAATTTGTTTCTCTATATATTTTTAGTTGGTCGATTGATTTCTTTCTATTTTTAGTAGAGACGGGGTCTCGCTCTTGCTCAGGCTGGTTTTGAACTCCTGGCCTCCAGCGATCCTCCCGCCTCGGCCTCCCTCCCGAGTAGCTGGGACTCCAGGCATGCACCACCACGCCCGGCTCATTTGTTTCTCTATATATTTTTAGTTGGCCAATTAATTTCTTTATATTTTGAGTAGAGACAGGGTCTCGCTCTTGCTCAGGCTGGCCTCCAACTCCTGACCTCGAGCGATCCTCCTGCCTCGGCCTCCCTCCCGAGTAGCTGGGACCACAGGCACGCGCCTCCACACCCGGCTCGTTTTCTCTCTCTATATATTTTTAATTGGCCAATTAATTTCTACTTTTAGTAGAAACGGGGCGGTCTCGCTCTTGCTCAGGCCGGCCTCGACCTCCTTCCAACCTCCATCACGATCCTCCCGCCCAGGCCTCCTCCCAGAGTGCTGGGACGACAGGCTCGGTGAGCCACCCCCCGGAGCCCGGCCAAGCCCAGGCGTTCGAAACCAGCCTGAGCAAGAGCGAGACCCCGTCTCTAGTAAAAATACAAAGAAATGAGCTGGACAACTAAAAATATATATATAGCAAAAAAAAAACAAAAAAAACGAGCCGGGCGTGGACTAGGGAGGCCGAGGCAGGAGGATCACTTGAGGCCAGGAGGTGGAGGCTGCTGTGAGCGAGGCTGACGCCACGGCACTCACTCTAGCCCGGGCGACAGAGCGAGACTCTGTCTCAAAAAATAAAAAAAATAAAAAAAAAAATTAAAAAATTAAAAATAAAATAAAATAAGAAAATAAAGGGAAAAGTGGGTTTTTGGCGGCGAGGGGAGGCCGTCTGGGTTTTGCGCTCTGAGAGGCTCAGCGGGTGGCGCTGGCTTTGCCGGGAGCCGCCCCACCCCCTCCCCGGGGCAGGCAGCCAGCCGGGCCATCTGGTCCTGGCCTCCTCCCCCCGCGGTCCGGGAGCCGCCGGCTGCACCCGCTACGCGAGTTCCAGGAAAAGCGATCCCAGCCAGCCAAGTTTTTGCAGCCCCGTTTATTTTTTGCAGCCTCGTTTTATTTTTGCAGCCTCGTTTTATTTTTGCAGCCTCGTTTTTTTTTGCAGCCTCGTTTTTGCAGCCTCATTTTTTGCAGCCTCGTTTTTGCAGCCTCGTTTTTTTGCAGCCTCATTTTTGCAGCCTCGTTTTTTTTTTTGCAGCCTCGATTTTTGCGGCCTCCTGTTTTGCAGCCTCGTTTCTGCAGCCTCGATTTTGCAGCCTCGTTTTTTTGCAGCCTCATTTTTGCAGCCTCGTTTTTGCAGCCTCGTTTTTTTTGCAGCCTCATTTTTTGCAGCCTCATTTTTCCAGCCTCGTTTTTGCAGCCTCGTGGGTTTTTTTTGCAGCCTTGTTTTTGCAGCCTCATTTTTTGCAGCCTCATTTTTTGCAGCCTCATTTTTGCAGCCTCGTTTTTCCGGTCTCGGTTTTCCAGCCTCATTTTTGCAGCCTCGTTTTTATGCAGCCTCATTTTTGCAGCCTCGTTTTTGCAGCCTCGTTTTTTCCAGTCTCCTTTCTGCAGCCTCCTTTTTGCAGCCTCGTTTTTGCAGCCTCGTTTTTTCCAGTCTCCTTTTTGCAGCCTCGTTTTTGCAGCCTCGTTTTTATGCAGTCTCGTTTTTTTGCAGCCTCCTTTTTCCAGCCTCGTTTTTTCCAGCCTCCTTTTTGCAGCCTCCTTTTTGCAGCAGCCTGAGATCAACGTCATTCAATGTCGCCTTGATCCGCTGGGGGGTGGGGGGGTGCAGGAAGAAGAGAGAGTCAGGGCCAGGGAGGAGTGGCTCCTGCCTGTCGTCCCAGCACTCTGGGAGGCAGAGGAGGGAGGATCACTCGAGGTCAGGAGTTGGAGGCCAGCCGGAGCAAGAGCGAGACCCCGTCTCTACTAATAAATAGAAATTAATTAGACAACTACAAATATAGACAAAAAACGAGCCGGGCGTGGCGGCGCATGCCTGGAGTCCCAGCTACTCGGGAGGGAGGCTGAGGCAGGAGGTTCTCTGGAGGTCAGGAGTTCGAGGCCAGCCTGAGCAAGAGCGAGACCCCGTCTCTAATAAAAAAATAAAAAAGAAATTAGCAGGACAACTAAAAATCTATATAGAGAAAAAAATGAGCCGGGCGTGGAGGCGCATGCCTGTAGTCCCAGCTACTCAGGAGGGAGGCCGAGGCAGGAGGATCGCTCGAGGTCAGGAGTTGGAGGCCAGCCTGAGCAAGAGCGAGACCCCGTCTCTATTACAAAAAAAAAATAGAAAGAAATTGGCTGGACGACTAAAAATATATAGAAAAAAAAAATGAGCCGGGCGTGGTGGCGCATGCCTGCAGTCCCAGCTACTCGGGAGGGAGGCCGAGGCGGGAGGATCGCTGGAGGCCAGGAGTTGGAGGCTGCTGTGAGCGAGGCTGACGCCCCGGCACTCACTCTGGCCCGG